TTAGGAAATTCAACGCGGTCCCCTGCCTGGGGTAGAAAAAAATGCGACGGAGACAAAGAAAAAGAAAGATTAGATAGGGTGGTTTCGGCGCGGCTCGGCGATTAAGACGTCCCATCAGACGTCAGCTTTCGGACTTGCGTGACGTGCGTCGCGTCCTCGACGCGTCTTTGCCAGTGCAAAGAAGCATTCCGACCTAGCTATTCTGTCTCGGGCGGCTTGGCGGGGTTTTGAATTGTCACCTTTACCTGACAATGCACCAGCTCCTCGAAACATCCTGGGCTTGGACTCGACCTGCTTCCCTCCATCTTCTCCTCAGTGGCACGAGGACTCCCCACCGCAGTCCGTTTAACGTTATTCTTTCTCGTCCCTTCCTTCCAGCATACTGGACCTCTCAGTTCGCCTCCGCCTCCGTATCTCAGTGGCTCTGTCCTTGTGTACTTATCAGCGTATCCAGTGAGATGGTTTCAGCGCTTCGTAAATACTAAAATCCTGTTTTCTCGCGGCATATGCGCGTCCCTCCCCTCCCCCGAGTCTAGCTCGTAAGTTCTCTTCTGAACATTCTCTGGCACATGTCTATATCATTGACACAGTTGATCAACTCTCGCAGTGGCCGCTGTTGGGCCGCTATGCACTGCATTTCATCGCTGCAGTGTTCCGGTCTCCACACGGACGGCAATACGCCTAGCCTGCATCTCCCGGCTCGCGCAGGTACGTCTATGCAAGCATTTGAGACACCTTGGTCGCTACCCCGCACTGCACTCGCGCAGACTCGCTTTCAAAGTTTCCCCCTCGGGTAAAATTAACGACAACGCTTCAACATTCTAATTTCTCCTGCCCAGAGTAACATCTTGCTACACAGATTGCGAGACCCTCTCCCGTGTGCCTCCGGCCCATTCCGCCCTTTCAAGTCCAAGCCCAGGAGCCGCCTTTACTTGGCGTTCGGTTCCTCTCCGCTGGAATTGGCTCATCTCCACTGACTCCGTCGTCTCGTTTCCAGAATAAGTAATTTGCAAGTCAAAGGGAAAGGAATCTGTGAATAGGCAAGGTGGCCGTGCCCAAATGTGAAGTGGACGCTCCCTCCATGTGCCGCACTCACTCCAAGTTTTCACTGGGTTTCAGCCCTCGGGTTTTTTTGTCTAAAATTCGTGATGAGACAGAAATGCGCCTCGATGACATTCCGTGTTCTCCGCCATTAGCACCACTAGCGTCCAAGCCGCAGTCCATTACCATCCTTTGCACTGCGGCTCGCGCCCCTAACCTATACTCATTCAACGGCAACCTTTCTGTAAGTTTTTATTGTCTGCGATCTTCGAAGCGGATTTTTAATTGCTTTTCTTTCACTCGGAATCTCTGTGACTCGAATGCTACGAGAGGAACCTTGACGGGAGATTCGCAACTAACTCCGAGTCAGAGCACCAACATATCGGCCGAGTACCCCCGACACCCACGCGGAGGCAGTGCGGTGCGGGATCAGCGCGATTTGCCGGGTTGGGCTTGCTTCTGTACCACAACGAGGCAGAAACCATCGCCTCGTTGTTCTTGTCCTCGTTTCCTTGTAGACTCTCCTCCTTCTCTCCTCTCTGGTGTACATAAGGATGCAGCACACATCGCGGGTGTACGCGGACGTCAACGCCGTGCGGGGCAAGGCGTGGTACGAATATAACAAGTTCCGCATCGAGTGGAGCGCCCCGGATCGGTATGAGATCGTGCGGCGGCTAGGGGGTGGGAAGTACTCTGAGGTGCGTAGTGGCGTATTGCAGGGGTTATCCGACAGCTAACCGATATTTGACTGGAGGTGTTTGAAGGCGTTGACACGGTCAACAGCGAGCGGTGTGTGATGAAGGTGCTGAAGCCCGTGGCGGGGCACAAAATCAAGCGCGAGATCAAGGTGCTGCGCAATCTCGCAGGGGCACCCAACTGCATTGCCCTGCTCGATGTCGTCCGCGACCGTGCGTGCTCAATGTCTGTCAAGCGCTCACTGAAACTAATTGTCTTTACCCTGCAGCATCGCGCCTGTACCACAGCCTGATCACCGAGTATGTGGACAACACGGAGTGGGGGCAGCTTTACAATCGCCTCACGGACGCGGACATCAAGCACTACATGTTCCAGCTGCTCACCGCGCTCGACTTTGTCCACTCGCACGGCATCATCCACCGCGACGTCAAGCCTGCGAACGTCATGATTGACCATGCCCGCCGCGAGGTCCGTCGTCTTTCGAGTCTTTTCCCCGTCTCTCCCCTTGTCCCCTTTCTTCCTTCCTTTTTTTTCACAATTTCCAATTCAATCCTGACACGCGTTTAACGCACAGCTGCGCCTGATCGACTGGGGCCTGGCCGAGTTCTACCACCCCGGCGTCGAGTACCACGTCCGCGTCGGCTCGCGGCAGTACAAGCCCCCAGAGCTGCTCGTCGGCTACAAGCGCTACGACTACAGCCTCGACCTCTGGAGCACCGGATGCGTATTCGCTGCTATGGTGCGTGTCTTATCTTATCTGCCTGAAGCTCCCGAGTCCCGTCGATAGGCTAACGCTGCTCCTGCAGATCTTCCGCAAACAGCACTTCTTCCGCGGCGCCGACAACGAGGACCAGCTGCTCAAGATCATGCGCGTCCTCGGCACGGAGCGCTTCGACGCGTACCTCAAGGCGTACGACATCCCGTACGAGACGGACGTCGAGGATCTGCTTGGGTCGTACGTCCCTTCCCTCCCTCCCTCGTCCCCTTCCTCGTCTATGCATGACTAACTGACTGACTGCATGCCGCGCGTAGGTACCCGCCCCGCCCCTGGACGCGCTTCATCACCGCCGACACCGCGCACCTCGCCACGCCCGACGCGCTCGCGCTCGTCGACCGCCTCTTGCGATTCGACCCCCGCGAGCGCTACACCGCCGCCGAGGCGATGGCGTGTCCGTATTTCGGCACCGTCCGCGTCGAGGGCGGGCGCGCGAAGGAGGAGGAGGCGCTGAATGACTCGGGGTTTGCGAGCATGAGCGGGGATGACAAGGAGGCGGGGGGGCGGGGCGGAGGTGAGGCGGGGCGCGCGGCTTCGCTGCGCTGGGGCTAGGGACGGGGACGGGATGGGGTTGGGTTACGGACGGAGCTGGGGGTGCGGCGGGCGGACGAGTGGGATGCGGCGGGGCCGCGTCCGATTGGGACGGGATTCACACACACCCACAGCGCGTCTCTCCCTTGCGATGGCCGTATGATCGACGCGTCGCCTCGTTGCATTATCGCCATTCGGGGGCTCTACTCGCCCACCTGCTGACCTGCTGAGATTCTCATCTATCATACTCATCATACTTACTAGTCATTGCGGTCCCGGCTCTCCCTCACCCACTCATGTCATTGTCATTGTCATCTAGCTCTAGTCCTGGGATCATGCACACACAGATACTTACATAGATCATCGCATCGCCCCGTACATATGTACATATCTACTCACTCCCACGCTCCTTACTCCTCACCCATCCTTCCCCGGTCGTTCTCATATGTCCATACTTACTACGATTATTACATTTCCTCTCTTATCGCGTTTCACTCTCAGTTTCACTCAGTTATCACCTTCCCTCACCTTTCAAGTTCCGCTTCCATTCCATTCCGTATCGTTTGATCATGCATTTCTCCATTCCATTCATCCCTTCATGCATGCATTCGTTCATCCGTTCATCCATCAGTACATTCCGAATCATCCTGTCTATAGTCTGTAGGCGCCTGTTCATTTCACAGCTTTTCTCGAATCTTATCCTTCTAAGTACTAAGTAACATGTCGAATTCATCCGTTCCTACTTACGGAATCGAATCGGCCGCGGGTTTGAGGGAAGGAAGGAAGGAAGGAAAGACTCCGCGTCCGTCTTTCATGTGTCTTGTTCGGTCACGGTCGTGTAGACCTCGGAGTACTAATCGCCTGTTCGATTCAGGCCCGAGCAATCGCAAAGCGCCTCGATTTTTTTTTGTCTTTTATGTAAATTGGCACAACACGGAATCCTGGGTGGCGGTTCCTACTTTTATTTGAAAACTTTTAAATTTGATAATTCACTAAATAATCAGCGTACAATCGGACTCGCTCGACAACAAATGCGCTGCACTCCGAGACCCCAGCGATATTCCGTATTTTATCGATAGAACAGAACTGCGAAAATGTTGAGGAAGGAGGGACATGTAGGCTCGCGATCGGTTGCGTTGCGGACGGTCTGCACAGGCATTTATTATTTGGCTTTGACAATTCACTTTGTTACTACATATCGGACTCGGCGTTCGAGGGGAAATGCATTCTGATTTAAGTTAGAGACCTCGGTATGTGATATTTCAATGTCATCGATAGATCCCGAGAAGCAGTATGTACTTATGTAGGCTCGGTAGCGGGCGGTCCACGTCTGCAACCTGTTGTTTCATCGTTCATCGTCGAAGTGTTCTGCAGATGCCTGTTCGACTCAGGCTCGAGCCATCGCCATTCATAATCGCTGTCTTTTTGTCTTTGGCAGGCCCTCCGAAATCCCGGACCCGGTAGCTGGTTGAACTTTTCGGCCCACTGGCACCTTAAACTATTATTTGACTTTGACAATTCACTTTATTATTAAGTAGCTTGGAATTGGACTCGCTCGACAGGAAAGGCGCTGTATTCCAAGACAGCGATATTTTGTATTTCATCGATAGATCCCGACTCGGGCAAAACTAGGTGTTGAGTAGGAGTATGTAAATAGGGTCGGTAGCGGGCGCTCTGCTCGATCTTGGTGCTTTGAAATATATAGTATTCAGCAGATATCGCCTGTTCGACCCAGGCCCGAGCCATTCGATTGCAACGTCTTCTTTTGTCCTTCGAACATCTTTAATTTCTTCGTGGTTGAGACACACCGTGCTTCATTGCACCTGAACGCCTGGAGCCCCCAAGCTTTTCAATTCCGAATCTGCCGTCCGACCGTGTACGACTCGTCGAAGAACGGCCGACAAGTAGAAGTATTGCATCCAAGCCCACAAATTGATTCAGGTTTGAAGGTAAGGAAGGCTCAGTTGCGGATGGTACGCGTCTGTCGTTAATGTCTCTTATGGAGCCAAGTATCATGTAAACATCGAAATCGCCTGTTCGACTCAGGCCCGAGCCGTGGTCGCCGAACTCGTATACCTTTTTTTTTTGAGTCATCTTTTCAGAATCACTGCGATACTGCATTTGTATGTATACGCCGAAGACACATTGCTGGTTCACTCCACAGCACTTGTGGCGGATACCTATTTTGTAGGTGCGCATGAGTGCTACGGTGTGCCGTCGGAGGTCGTGGCTGGTATTTTGTTGAAAGTGACACAATGCTCCGTCATAAGGCAGGATGTGAAGGAGGGACAATGGAGCTTGGTACTATGCACAGTGGTCCTAGACAGCAGGTCACTTTGCAAGTGTTCTGATCCACACATCGCCTGTTCAACTCGGGCCCGAGCAATATCCGAAATCGTTGGTTTTTTTGTTCAGCTGTGATCTGGGTGGATTGCGTGTTCGCCTACTTGTGTGGGCAATTGTTTTGTATTTCCAGGACCTCGGAGTTGCTGTTTTGTTGGAGACAGAATTGTGTGTCAGAAAGGCCAAGTGTGAAGGAGGGGCAATAGGGCTCAGTGGCGGGTGGCCCGTCTGTTCTTAATTATCTTGAACAGCATGTTGCGCCACGATGGGCTGAGACGTTGGGACCATACACGAAATGCGATATGAGCCGGAATGCTTCCTGTGTTGCGGCGGGCGTCGAATCATACCCGGAAGCGACATTCTCCGCGGGGAGACCTTTTCAGGAGGAGTGAGTGTGGGTGATCCGTTTCCCTTGAATGCCGCCGGCGGTGGAAGAAGCTCGTCAAGCTGAAAAGCTCTGGGATCGCGGGTATGACGGGACTTTGTCCTACCTACCCTCGAGAAGGAGATGACCGGCTGGCTTCCGAAGGACCGACAGGTTAGGTCGCAACAGCGACATTCAACGACCGGGAAGAGCCGCAGAGACGAAAGCAAACAGAAGAGCGGGCAGGATCGGTGATGCGCCACCGGGACACAGCCACATTGTGGTCCGTGAGGAGAAAAGTGCGATGATGACTCATGCTTGCCTAAACTGCTTTTTTGGGACTACTACCTTTTTGGGATGGCCCGGCCGAAAGTTGGGATCAGCGACAATCCTGGCCAAATCCTGGCTCGCAAACTCTGCACAAACATCAACTAACAACGCAGCACGTCACCGCTCTTCCTCTCCGCCCGACCGTCATCTCCTCCTTCGCGTTCCCACGACGCGACGTAGGGCCATCGCACGGGCGGCGTTGCGCACCCGCGCGTTCTCACATTAGGGTCAGTCAGAGTAGAGAAAAAGAGTCGTTTCTCGGTCGTTTCTGGAGGCGTTTCTGAAAGCGTTTCTGGAAATTGTTTTACATCAGAAACGTGCGAAGAAACGGCTTCTATTCTGACCGACCTGATTTCCGAGGCGTTTCTTGGGATTTTTGTATTTTAAGAAACGGAAACGCCTCAGAAACGACTGGTAGAAACTCCTCTAGAGGAGTTTTTACCTCGTTTCTCGCCGTTTCTGCGTTTCTCGAGGCAAGTCGTTTCTCGTTTTCTCACGCCAATTTAATGTTTTATTAATTTCAGAAACGACTTGTGAAACGACTCGAGAAACGACCCTCGAAAACCTACTCTGACTGACCCTATTGACTGCACAGCCGGCTACGTTCTCTGTTTTCAATGTTCATTATGTTCAACCTGACCCAACTAAAATGCATCCATACTCCTATTACTCCTCTTATCCTCCTCCCTTTTAACCTACCTATGCCCCACACTAGTTCTGTATGTTTTGTACGCTCGACTTGTAATTTTTCAAATTGGCACGGCATTTCGGCACCGTTTTGACTGTCGTCCTTCCTAGTGTTGCCGCAAGCTCGAGCCATTACCATATTTGGCAGCTCGAGGTGACCTTGGCTCGGATCACCTCGAGCTACCTCGAGGTCCATCAAATTCCGTTGCCGTGTACGGCGTGCCCGTCTTTCGCCGCTGTAGGAACTTAGATGCGCTCCTGTGAACATTTCTGGACCGGAAAAAATTGCAACAGATAGTGTAAACCCATTTCAGCTTAACCTTGGGGCCACACAACCCAAATGCCCTCGCTGTTGAGTATGTTGCACCTCCGTGGAATCCCTGCCTTCCATTTGGGAAGTCAGCTCGAGGCAGCTCGAGCTGAACTCGTGACAGCTCGAGCTGATCCAAGGTGCCATTTAGCCGAGCTCGAGTTACCTAACTTACCTTCACCTTAGCTCGCGGCAACACCAGTCCTTCCGCCGAAGATTCCCAAAACGGTATAGGGGCAAATTGCAAAAACTAAACTGCTGCATCAAAAGAATACTCAGCGAATTTTCTCCCACCGAACTCTGCGCAGCATTCCAATTCAGTTGGGCACTCATAAGTATGTAACGAGACTTGAGGACTCTCCATCTCCAGTGTAAAACAAGTAATGTGTATGGAACGAGGTATTATACTAGAGTGGTAAGAGTTAAGATGTAAACAGTCGAGCATAATAATACGTAGTAAATTAGTAAGAAACGTATCAGTCTTGTGCACAACGGGGAGCTGGTATTTGCGCCCGTAGGAAGACCGTTAAATACGAGCGAGAAATCAAGCGAGCGAAGATTCTCAACTTACGTAAGCAGTGAGGAAGTTACCCGGCTTGGGCGAGCGCTGATAGGACTTTGATGTGGCTATCGATCTTGACATCCCCGGTTTCCCGATCCACGATATCATCTCGGAACGTAATGTTCGCGCCCGGGCCAAACAACAGAACGTGGGTTGATCCCCCGTAGTGGAACATCCCCAGCTGAGCGCCCCTCTCCACTTTCTGTCCCGCCTCTACCGTTAGCTCGCACGTCGAGACTTCCACCATCCCAACGGCGAGGAAGCACACCAGTCCAATTTTTGGATTGTCGATGTAGACGAGGGCGCGCGTGGCCGAGTGCGTGATCCAGCGCTGCGAGCGGGGCATCGCGCCATAGGGCGAGTCGGCACCGTCGTCAGGCAAGACCGCACAATACGTGCCCGGTACAATAGCCGCCTTCGCGATCGTGCCCGCGACGGGGCTGCGCCAACGGTGGTAGTCGGCGGGACTAAGGGCCGCTTGGTACGCGGTCCCGCCGACGAAGGCCGCGCTGAAAGCGTTGTCGCGGTCGAGCATGTCGTAGAGAGAGTACTTCTGGCCCTTGAGCCAGAACTGAGCATGTAGTTGGAGATTGCGTTGGACGTACAACACAGACGCTTCACACGGGCTAACGATAATGCCCGCGTCGATGGCTGCGTTGTGGGAGAAATGCATGGGCCTTGCGCCGGCTTGTATTTCGCGTGTGAAGAACTCGTCCCATGAGCGGAAACCGCGATTTGTCTGCGTGGGATTGGGACAAACGTAGGTAGAGTTGAACTCGCCCCGCAGATCTTCCAGCATGTTCAGACCTGGTGGGCTGAACCAGCCCCCATTCGAATCAGTGAGCGTTTTGGTTGAGTCGGGGCTTCGGAGGTATGCCCCCCAGCTATGCAACAGGTCCTTCATGGCGGCGTTAAAGGCGGGCCGTCGGAAAAGATCGTAACCCGCGGCGGTGTTACTCAGAAGGGAAAAGATCAGGGCGAGAGGAACCCCGGCGGGTGGTCCACCGGGAGCAACGACGAAGAAGCCTGGAGGCTCTAGAAGAACGATATCCAGCATGTAGAGAAGCGAATCAAAGTCTTCGATCTACTCAGTGAGTAATTGGTGCACAGACGAGTGGACAAAGCAACACACTTGGTTTAGAGATGACACCTGAACAAAAATTTGGGTGAACACGTCAATCATTTTCGGCTCAAAATGCGACGGAGCCCTCATGGCCTTAGCGAAGGCTGCCACAGCGGGGATGTGAGGCAAGGCCTTAGCACTGGCGCCGAAAGCTCTGTCGGTGAGTTGCGAAAAGAAAGCTTCGTAGACCTCGCTGGAGGGTGGCAACCGTCCGTCATAGTGAATGATTTTGTTATGTTTTAGCCGGAAGTACGCTGCGAATTATTATGTCAGAAAAACAGTCAGGTGTAAAACAGCAAGGGAATTACGGGACATTGTGGGGGCTTCAAGATTTGGCTTTAGTGTGCAGGGACAGACGAAGAGGGGTCCCCTGCTTATATGCCTTTTCTCCTGCCGCCATGGATCATGGACGAATCTGGAAAGCCCGACGAGCCGGTTCGCCAACACGAACCGTGAGACTGCGAACGTCAACGAGACGATGGAGGACGATGGCGACAGTCGACCGTTTCATTGCCCTGACAGTGATTGCCGCTGTTATTTGAACTTTATTTCGTGTCCTCTTTGGGAATATGGTGCCACGCAAAAGCTAAGCGAGAGAGAGTTTGTGAGGAACACATGCATGGATCTTTTTTGCTTCCTTAAATGTTCGGCCCCCGTAGCTCCATGTGCAATGATGCGCATCGGCGGAGAATACGCAAGTGGTTCAAATAATCGTCCAAAATGCTCGGCCCTCGCTGGTTTATTGGCTACCGTCGGGCGACTGACGCATCCACTGGGCAAACGATCCGACATCGTTGAACAACCCACAATGGCTGTCAAGGCCTCGTAAATTTGGAGATCTCCTCGTCCTCAGAAAGTTTTCAGGACTGGGGAATGTGCCAGTCAATGTCACCTTCCTCTAGGCCCGTAGACATTTTAAGAAAAAATTGTCTAAGCGATTTCTGCTGATTTCTGGCGGCTACGAGAAATCTGTGACATCGGATCTTCAGAGGAACATCATTATGATCTCAAGGAATGCAGACGGGTATGCGGCAGCATAACATAAGACAAATAACGAGCCCTGGTTTCCATGTATGCTCTACGTTGCCATCCAACTTCCTACCGAAGGAAAGTGAAGGAAGCTCGAAATAAACTTTTACACATTTGATTTCGATGCCAATCAAAATTAAATTGATCAACCATCAGATCTGTTTCGAGGAAGAAGTCACTTCTTCCTCGAAACAACCAAGAATTGACCAAGAACCTGATTCACCCTTTGGCATCTGAAATAAATTGGACGACCCCGGAGATTGGGACTGAAGGAGCCCATCAGGAATCCAGGTGCGAACTCCGTCCAA